AAGGCCACACATCTTTCGGTCACCAAGTTTGAAAAACAGAACAGAACAGAATAACAGAGTTGGAAGGGACCTTGGAGATCTTCCAGTCCAACCTCTTGTTCAAGCAAGAGATCCTGTACTATTTCAGACACGGGACTGACCAGTCTCGTCTTAAAAGCCTCCAGTGATGGAGCACTCACAGCTTCTAAAGACAAGCTGTTCCACTGATTAATTGCCCTCACTGTTAGGAAATTTCTCCTTAATTCTAGGATGCTTCTCTCCTTGATTAGCTTCCATCCATTGTTTTTGTCTTGCCTTCTAGTGCTTTGGAGAATAGGTTGACCACTTCTTCTTTGAGGCAACCACTGAGATATTGGAAGACTGCTTTCATGTCACCCCTCGTTCTTCTTTTCACTAGACTAGATATACAGTACTTAATTCCTGCAACCATTCTTCATATATTTTAGCCTCTGGGCCTCTAATGATCCTTGTTGCTCTTCTCTGCACTCTTTCCAGAGTCTTAACATCTTTTTTATACTGTGGTGACCAAAACTGGATGCAGTATTCCAGGTGTTGTCTTGAAGCACTGCTCTACACCCTCTGTTTTGTCTTGCATACATCTAAGACCAATAGGGAGAGAAAGGCTATTGACATAGTCTGTTGAGATACAGGTAGCCCTCAACTTACAAGCATTCCTCACTTTTCTCAGTGCCTAGAAAACGAACAGCTGTAAGTTGAGGACTATCTATATATACGTGGTTTTGAAAGGGTGGAGAATTCGAGCATCCATACATATGATAAGAAAGCTTCCTTCCTCTCTGGGCTTCCAAGAAAACCTAGAAGGCTTGCAGGCTGAGAGGCTGTCACTGGGAACTTCCTTTCAAGGTTCTGAACAGTAGGAGGCTGTCCTAGAATGAGAAGAAAACTATTTATGTTCTGGGTAACCTTTAACCTTTTCTTGCAAGTGGAAAACAGTTTCTGGCCAAGAGTTTTCTTGGGTGTCCAAGGAGCATTTTTTTTCATGTCAAAACAGCTTGAGGGAAGGCAAAGGAAACACGTCCCTTGTTCAGCTTTGTACAAAGAAGGCAGGAAACATTTCCATAGTGAGAGCTTTCATTTGCTCTCTGGTTGCAAAGATGTCAGGCAAAAAGTTAGGTGCTGCATGAAAAGGGAGATGAATAGAGTAGAATAGAACACTTTATCGGCCAAGTGTGATTGGCCACACAAGGAATTTTTCTCCAGTGCATAAGCTCTCAGTGTCCATACAAAGAACAAAATGATAAATCATGATCATAATCATAAATACAATCATCATAAGTCATAAGATACTACACTCGGTGATAGTCATAGGACACTAAATCATGAGATACAAACAACAAAGTTATAATCATAAAAAGCTAAAGAAATGGATAACAGAAAAGATGATAAGTATAATAGTAATACAGCCCTACTAGGTATTTTGACATCCCAGGGGCATAGGTCAGTGTTGTGGGAATTAGTTGTTTAGCAGAGTGATAGCACGGGGGAAAAAACTTTGTGTCTAGTTGTTTTGATGTGCAATGCCCTGTAGCATCATCTTGAGGGAAGAAGTTGAAACAGTTTATGATCAGGATGTGTGGGATCTATTGATATTTTCATGGTCCTCTTTTTAACTTCTGCATTGTACCGGTCCTCAATGGAAGGCAGGCTGGTTGCAATTGTTTTTTCTACAGTCCTAACTATCAGTTGAAGTATGCTTGTCTTGTTTGATTGCTGTACCAAACCAGACAGTTTTAGAGGTGCAAATGACAGACTCAATAATTCCTTTGTAGAACTATATCAGCAGCAATGATAAAAAAAATAATTTTATCATTGATAAAATAAATAATTTTATCAGCAATTTTGTAGACCTATATCAGCAGCAATGATAAAATAAAATAATTTTATCATTGATAAAATAAATAATTTTATCAGTAATGATAATAAAACAATGATTGGATTAGATTACAGCGAGTCCTTGATTTATGACCAGTTATTTAGCGACCATTTGATGTTACAATGAACCTCTCCTGAGGTAACTGTGGCCTGGTTCTGATGGCCAGGCCTCTTGTGCGGTCATGTGACTGCATGTCAGGATCTTGGCAACCAGTTAGCATTTCTGGCTGTTTGCAATGACTTATGATTGGACCTTACACTTACAGCCATTATAGCATCCCTGGGATCATGTGATCAAAATTTGGGTGCTTGGGAACCGGCATGTTTTTATCACATTAAAGGATCCCAGGATCTCCATTTGTGACCTTCCAAGCTGGCTGCCAATAAGCACAGTCAATGGGGAAGCCAGATTCTCTTAACTGTGTGATTCATTTAACAATCAGGACGATTCACTTAACAACCATGGGAATTCACTTAACTATGGCAAAAAGGTCATAAAATCAGACATGGCTCACTTCACAGTCATCTTACTTAGCAACAGAAATTCTGATCCTAATTGTGGTTGTAAGTCAAGGATTACCTGTATTGTGTGGATATCTCTGGACAGGTCCTTCTATTTTAAGCACACACCACAACATTTTGGTAGTCTATTTGATTTTGGGTAGTTTATTTGATGATTGGAACTGACACATTCAGAAACTATTCCTTGAGAATCAAGACCACAGGAAAAACCCATGGAGGGACTATGGCCACTTATTTGTTGATTTAGGAAGCTTTGCAGAGGTTAATCTGAGAAATGAAAAAGCAGCCTAGACGAAGGCAATGGCAAGCCAGTGGTGGGATTCAGCCAATTTGCACCAGTTCGGCACAATCGGTAGCTAATTTTTTGTTGCCCAGGCCCAGAATGGACTTCTGGAAGCAACATCCACACAGAGATCTGGTTGTTCACATATTTGAATCCCGCCACTGTGGCAAGCCTATGTTATTTCCAAGAAAACTATATGGATTCAATTATCATTAACTAGGCTTGGCATATTTACTACTTTAAGAACAGATAAATCGATCTATTTCCAGTTTGTGTCAGTTTTACATAAAGTCAAACATAAAACTCTTCTTCATGGAGTTTTCAAAGATAGTATGAACATCTGTATTTACTCTCTAAATGTACATTTCCTCTCTAAAATTTGCATTTCTCCTAAAGTACTCTATTTAAATCAATATTTGCCTAAAAATATAGATGCTTGTGCACATTTTCTTCTAGAAAGAAGTGAAATAAAAAATGTGGAGGAATGTGAAACATGGATAACTGTATTCTGACATATGAATCCTGGGAATGCAGATTAAACTGCTTTGCTTTAAAAAAGGAAGACACAGTCAACAATCCCATCTGAGACTTGTTTGCAGTTCAGAGCTCCTGAAACAACTGGCAGCGATGTAATTTTAATGTTCCAGAAGGGGATAATTGTTAAATGCATGGGGAACAATACTTTCTACTGTATTCAATTAATTTTGCTAAGTTTTAATTAGGTTTTAATTTAAATTAGGTTTTAACTTTTCATTGGCTGGCCCACCCAAAATCCAAGGATAAACTTGGTTGAAAATAGGTTATGTAGCTTGTTTTAAAATAGGGTCTGAATCCATTTCTCCATGGTTCCGTTTTAGGCACTGAAGTCAAAATACCATAAAACAGAACAGAGAATAGAGAATAGAGAATAGAATAGAATAGAATATACTTTGTTATTCAAGTGTGATTGGACACACAAGGAATTTGTCTCAGATGCATAAGCACTCAGTGTACATACAAACAACAAAGTAATATAATCATAAAATACCAATAGGAGAAGGTAATAGGAAAGATGAGAAGGATAATAGTGATGTTGAAAGAAAAATCTTCATCAGGGTCCACTTCAAGCCGGGAATAAACAAAATGAAGATTGCTTTAGAGAAGGTTGCAGTTTATTGAAGAGCAGAGCCAGACAGAAATGAAGCTCTGGGAAAGCTGAACACATGTAGTAGGGAGTGGTGGGTTTTTATACATCCTTTCTGGTATTCTAATGGCGGTGGGTTAATCCTATTATGTCCCAAAGGTCGTACCCTGGGACTGGGCCTGATGACTATGTCCTGTGTTGGTTTTTTTTTTTGGTGAGGGGTTGTTGATTCTAGGGATCTTCGTCTTTCTAATCCTATCAGCTCCAAGCTTCCTGGCTCCAATCTTTCTGAAAGAATTAACAAATCTGCATTTCTATAGACCTGGTTTCTGCTCGGGGCAGAGAGACTTGGGGGGCAGGGTCTGCCTTTTAAGATGCTCCATTATTCCTTTGGGGAAATATATTATTCTGCCTTTTTAATATTCCCCAAAATATTTCTGTCTCTGGGGTGGGCTGACTTTCCACAGTAATATAGTCCTATTACATGGGTAAATATCCTTAGACATAAGGCAATACTGTGGTTATTAGGTATTCAGCAGACTGATGGCATGAGGGAAAAAACTGTGTCTAGTTGTTTTGGCACGCAATGTCCTATAGCAGTGTCTCGAAGGGAGGAGTTGAAACAGTTTATGTTCAGGATAAGAGGGGTCTGTAGATATTTGTCAGCCCTCTTTCTGACCCTTGCAATATACAGGCCCTCAGTGAAAGTCAGGCTGGTTGCAATTGTTTTTTCTGCAGTCCTAGCTATCCATTGAAATATGTACCTGTCCTGTTTGGCTCCTGTACCAAACCAGACAGTTGTAGAAATACAAATGACAGATTCAATAATTCCTCTTTAGAACTGTATCAGCAGCAACTTGGACAGTCTGAGCTTTCTGAGTTTATAGCTGCCAAAAGATCAAATGTCTTTGATCATCACAAACTTTCTCAGTGTGAATTTTGGTGAAATTCAGAGAAAGTAGAAGGAAAATGAGCTACCGCAAGCTGAAGGCCCTCTGTTTTGTTTCTCTCCTACCCTATGTCTCATCCAGCATTTTTGAAGGATTATTATTTTTACAGACTGTGATAGAAACAGACTGTGGTAAATTACAGATTAAGGTTTCAGCTAAGAGGAATGGAATGGATTAGGAGAACAAATTGATAAACCGGAACTGAACAGATTGTGCTTTCTTATTGCAGATCTGAGGAACTGAGTCTTTGAAGTGTGATGGGCCACAATCAAGAAGATGCTTGTGGATGGTTGACCGGATGTTCTGGTCTTCTGAAGCCTCCTCAGTGCAGAGGACTATGGCGACAAGCCTAGTGGTGATTGCAGAAAGCAGCTTATTTGAGACAGGAAAAGTTCTAAGATGATCAGATGAACCCATGGGAGGACCTAGCAAGAAGCCAAGGTGTGGCTTCAAAGCTGTTCTAAAGGTGTGAACGGCTCCGTTTCCCAGGAAGGGTATGGCCAAATCCTTTTTCAGACCACAAAAGTTTCTTCGGAGGACCCAGGTTCTGCTCTTTTTCCTCACAGCCGCCTATCTGATGGCAGGTAGCCTTCTCCTCCTACAAAGATCTCGCTTGGTTCTGCAGCAAGGCTCCCGAGGCTTCTCCAGGAATCAGGGCCTACCAGTTGCTGAGACTTTGCCAGGGGACACAAATGCAGAGAGCAGACCAGTGCAGGTGCCTCGCTTGACTTCTAAGCTTCTTGTAAACATGGATACAGTGTATGGGCCCAACCCGGACCAGAAAGATGGACCACTGTGGTTGATTTCCAGAAATTCTGAATTGAGACAGTTACGGAGGCGCTGGTTTCTCCAATTTGTAAATGACCAAGAACCTGTTCTGGCTTCTGGAGCGAAAACATACCTGAAGCACACCTCCAAAAGCAAAGGTAAATCTGGTTTTGAAGTTTGCACTAGATTTTGCAGAAGTATTTCAGAAAGGAGACCTAGATACCTTGAAATATCTTCTGTGGGTGATATTATTATTATTCCCCACCTTTCTACTTATCAAAGCACACCAGGCAATTTACAATAGCCTGAAAGAAAAAATATTAAAAAGCACCACCAAGAAATCAGCAAAGAGCTAAATCAATATTGAGATAACCTACAACAATAGCATTGTAGTAACTGATTCTTGCAAATTTGCGTCTCCTATCCTTTGTATCATAGGGCAGCATCTCTCAACTTGTCAACTTGAAGATGTGTAGCGTTAACTCCCAGAATTCTCCAGCCACCATATTGGGAGTTGTAGTCCCTACATCTTAAGAGTTGCCCAGGTGAGAAATGATACCCTAGGGCCATGGGTGGCGAGCCTATGGCACGCGTGCCACAGGTGACACACAGAGCCTTCTCTGTAGGCACGCATGCCGTTGCCCCAGTCCTAGGCCTTCAGCTGGGTTTTATAAAACCTTTTTGCTTTAGGCCTCCACCGCCGTGTGCAAAAAAAAAAAAGGTTCGATCAATCAATCAATTTCAACTTCTTGCGGGGAAAAAAACGATCTTGCAAAGTTGGAATTGATTGATTGAACTTTTTAGTCCCACCCAGTCTGCTGTTACCACCGTAGCCCCGCCCACCCAATGGGCCCCGCCCACCCAATGGGCCCCGCCCACCCAATGGGCCCCGCCCACCCGGCACCCGATGATAAATAAGTGGGTTTTGGGTTGCAGTTTGGCACTCAGTCTCTAAAAGGTTCGCCATCACTGCACCCCGCCATGGTCATGTGATCAAAATCCAGACTGGCAAGTAGTAGTAGTAGTAGTAGTAGTAGTAGTAGTAGTAGTAATACTAATATTAATAATAAAGTTGGAAGGGACCTTGGAGGTCATCTAGTCCAACCCCCTGCTCAGGCAGGAAACCCTATACCATTTCAGACAAATGGCTGTCCAGTCTCTTCTTAAAAACTTCCAGTGTTGGAGCATTCACCGCTTCTGGAGGCAGGTTGTTCCACTGGTTAATTGTTCTAACTGTCAGGAAGTTTCTCCTTAGTTCTAGGTTGCCTCTCTCCTTGGTTACTTTCCACCCTTTGCTTCTTGTCCTGCCTTCAGGCGCTTTGGAGAATAGCTTGACTCCCTCTTCTTTGTGGCAGCCCACAAGGAATAGTATTTATGAGTGTTGCAGTGTCCTTGGGTCATGCGATCACCTCCTGTAACCTTCTGACAAAGGTCAACGGGGAAGCCAGATTCACTTAACAACTGTGTTACTAACTGAACAACTGCAGTGATTCACTTAACAACTGTGGCAAGAAAGGTCGTAAAATGGGGCAAAACTCACTTAACAACTGTCTTGCTTGGCAATAGAAATTTTGGGCTCAATTTTGGTCCTCCATCAAGAACTACCTGTCATCTTAATTAAAAACACTAACATAAAGCAGGAGGAAGAGGTGAAACCAAATATTTTATCTACCTGGCAATGCAGCAGCACCTGAGGAAGCCCAGATGGCTTCCGATCTGCAGCTGCAAAGGATAAAAACAAAAAAACAAAGCCCTTCCAAACCTGTGAAATGGAGCTCAGAAAGAAACTCCCACCTTCTTAGCAGCTTATTGTGGGTGTCTGTTCACAGCTTGTGAACTTCCTAATTGCACGTTTGCAAAGTGCCGATGTTCACCTCTTTGGAAGAAACATACCATTCACCTTGTCTCAACATTTTAATTCAAGAATTCTAGCTTTTCCTCCTTCTTTGCTGATTTTTTTTCCTTCTTCTTTCCTCCCCCCCCTCCCCCCAAAGGGAGGGTGATGTAGACTCTGTTGGCTATTTTTAGCAAAAAAGAAAAAAGCAGCTGAACATTGATTTATTTTGGATCCATCTGTGAAAAGCTTTCGTTCAGAGACTGCATGTGAGTCTGGAAATAATGGAGGAAGAAAATGGAGAGAAAAAAAGCACAGCCTCCATTAAAATCTAAAAAGCTTGGGTATAGAAGTGTTCGCAGACATGGTGTATGTCAGAAAAAGTCCGGATGGTAGCTGTAGTTATTCAGAATTGCCCTCTTGAATTTCTTGATCCTGTTCCCTGTAAAGCAGGGGTGTCAAACTGCCAGCCTGCGGGCGGGTTTCATCATACCGAAGCCGTGCCCACCCCATTGCTGGCAATGCAAAAAGAGTTGTGATACATTGCAACACGTCATGTGACGTGGTGAGTTTGACACCCGTGCTATAAAGGAACATAGAACAGACTTTGGGGAAGAGATAAGCAATCTGTTAAGAGGGTCGATACTATGTTGCTTTACGCCAAGGGTATCCCACCTTGGCAACTTTAAGACGTGTGGACTTCAACTCCCAGAATTCCTCAGTCAACCATTCAGGCTGTTGAACTAAAGCAGGGGTTCTCAACCAAAGCTGGCTGAGGAATTCTGGGAGTTGAAGTCCACAAGTCTTAAAGTTGCCAAGGTTGAGAACCCCTGAACTAAAGGATCACCCAGATGTCATCTAACTGGTTGATTTCTATGATAGCTTGATTTGTTAGAAAACAGGCTCATGTAGCTCTACAATAACAAGGAAATGGAAAAGGTGTGCAGGAATGTGAAACTCGAGAGACTTTTTGAAACAGGAACATGCATGCCATTCATATATACAATTCTTTCTACTTCACTCTCCTTTAAAGAAAGAAAAGAAAAAAGTAGGCTAAATCAGGCAGGGTTTTGCAAGTTGCTTTGAAGTGAAATAAATAATTAAATGACAACATGAAACAAATCTCTCTCTCTCTCTCTCTCTCTCTCTCTCTCTTCTCTCTCTCTCTCTCTCTCTCTCTCTCTTATCTTTTCCCCAACTTTAAAGTACTCAGACTGGGATATGAGAAATATAGGTAGTCCTCGACTTACGACCACAAGTGGGACTGCAAATTCCATTGCTATGAGATGCGGTTGTTAAGTGAACCCAGCTTCCCCATTGACTTGTTAGTCGGAAGCCCATGGAAAGGTTGCAAATAGTGATGACATGACCACAGGATGCTACAACTGTCATAAATACACGACAAACACTTGAATTTTGATCACATGATTACGGGGACACTGCAACACTTGTAAGCACAAGAGCCAGTTCTAAGTCACTTTTTCCAACGCCATTGTAACTTCAAACATTGTTAAATGAATGGTTGTAAGTTAAGAACTACTTATACCTAGAACAGTGTTTTTCAAACTTAGCAATTTTAAGATGTGTGGACCAGGGCAGGGGTCCCCAACCATCAGACTGTGAACCAGCACCGGTCTGTGGCCTGCCAGGAACCAAGTCACACAAGCAAGCGAAGCCCCAGCACACGGATCGGATCTAGGCAGCAGGTGAAACCACATACTCCTGGTCCATGGAAAAAACATCCTCCATGGAAGCGGTCCCTGGTGCCTAAAAGGTCAAAGGCTGCTGGACTAGAGTTCTGGGTTTTGATTGGAGAAATCCAGGCTGGCTGGGGAATTCTGGGAGTTGAAGTCCACACATCTTAAAGTTGCCAAGTTTGAAATACAATGACCTAGAAATGTCTGTAATGTGTCCTTGTCGCAGAAGTAATTTAACTACATTGCATGAATTCTTCATTCATGGAAATGAAATTGTAATAATAATAACAACAACAACAACAACAACAACAACATTAAGAGTCTGGATGAGGAAGATTACTACAAATAGTTGGGTATCCTTCAAGCTGACAACATCAAGCACACTGAAGTCAAGAAAAAGATTAGAGGTGAATACATCAAGAGAGTGAAGAAGATCTTAAAATCCAAACTCAATGGAGGAAATACCATAAAGGCAATCAACACCTGGGCAATCCCAGTCATTATGTACACAGCTGGAATAGTGGACTGGACTCAAGCAGAACTAAAAGCAATGAATAGGAAGACCAGAAAAATAATGACAATGAATCATGCCCTTCATCCACGCAGTGACATTGACAGACTTTATCTACCAAGGCAAATAGGTGGGCGTGGAATGCTACAAGTACATCAGATGGTTGAAGAAGAAAAAATGGCTTTGGAAGAATATCTGAAGAAAAATGATGAAGATGCATTGAAATTAGTATATCAGGAAGGCTTACTGACTACTGGAGAGACCAAACTGGCCTACAAGAAAGACCAAATGAAGAACAGAATAGAGGCATGGGAAGACAAAGCACTACATGGCCAATACATTAAAAAAATAGCTGGGAAGGCAGATAATAACAAGACCTGGCAATGGCTAAGAGCAGGAAAATTGAAGAAAGATACCGAGGGACTAATTCTGGCTGCACAAGACCAAGCCTTAAGGACAAATGCATATAAAGTCAAAATTGAGAAGACAGCAACAGACAGTAAGTGCCGCCTATGCAAAGAAGCTGAAGAAACAGTGGACTACCTGGTAAGCTGTTGCAAGAAGATTGCACAGACTGATTACAAGCAGCGGCATGACCAAGTAGCAACAATGGTGCATTGGAAGATCTGCAAAAAATATCATTTGCCTGTAAGCAAAAACTGGTGGGATCATAAAATAGAGAAAGTCATAGAAAATGATAAATTAAACTGCTCTGGGACTTCAGAATTCAAACAGACAAGCACCTGCAACATAACAGCCCAGACTTAACAATTGTCGATAAGAAAGACAAAAAAATCTGGATAGTGGACGTGGCAGTGCCTGGAGACAGCAGAATAGACGAGAAAGAACTGGAGAAGATAACAAAATACAAAGACCTACAAATAGAAATAGAAAGACTGTGGCAAAAGCAAGCAAGGGTAGTATCAATAGTCATAGGCTCCTTGGGTACAATCCCAAAACAACTGGAGCACCACTTGAACACCATTGGCATTGACAAATTAGCTATTAGTCAATTGCAAAAGGCGGCCTTACTAGGAACTGCTTCCATCCTGCGACGATACCTGTAATACCATCAAACATCCACATCTGCCTATCTCAGGTCCTGGGTAAGGACTC